ATCAACGAAGCATATGACGTACTAACAGAGCGACGACGAAGACGAGCCAATTGATAGATCAAACTCTTGGACGTTCGTTTAGTGAACGGCTCCAAATATTCTTTAACGGAGAGTCTCCAGACTGATTAGCGAGTGAAACCTTGAAAGCTCGCGAGATCAGGATGGTCTCACGAGGCTAAAAACAAACATATTTCTTAATTAATTTAGCTAATTCTAAGATCTTCATCTAGCTTCTCCCCCTACGCAATGATTCTTATAGTGGACCTGATGTGACTCGGACTCGGCTAAACAGTGGGAGGAGGGGTGGGGACTGAGCTGAGAAGGACAGAGAGACATTTGAGAAAAATAAACCCCAGAGCTATGTATTGGGTCTCTACTGTTTCTACTGTTAAAAGCACAACGCTGACTTCGTGACCTAGAGAGTTCACGCATCTGAGTTATTTTAAATGATTCCTCAGGCCAATATTCCGCGTTTGACATTATCAATGCTACAAGCTCGGCTCCCCACTCGAAATACCGACTATGTAAGTTGGGAGAGGACACAGGGTCGTTGGCGAGGTCATGTGACCTGGAAGAACGCATCGCTTTACGGCCGCAGGCTCTTATATAGTCATGGAGCTAAGGCTTTAGCTCTATTTTTACTGGTCATGGCTGAGGCAAGGAAAAAGTTTAAACCTTCAGAAAGCTCATATCCTGATCTTGAGCTGCCAGAGTATATATGTCAGATTAAATAAAACTACTTATACTTCAGCGATAGTATAAAGGTGCCACTTCATTGTATCTCGTATACTATATCCGTTGGTTGTGCTATTTTTTTACATCTCTTTGCAGGTGATGAAGCAGACTGAGGATGTTTTATCATTATCTCCCTTTTATCTCCTCTTTCTTTCATCTTTTCTCCTATTTTTTCTGTTGTTCCTTTCCTGTTCTACTTACATTGCAGTGTCCATATAATCTGTAAACTCCCTTCATAATCAAAATAAAGCTATTTACATGAATAAATCAAGTGGAACACTATGGCGATAGTTGTACTGCTCCACTTGTGAAAGCAAAATCTGTTGGGATCTTTTTGGCATCATGACAATTATTCTTATTGCCACATCACTACACAGGACAATGTTGAAAAAAAAATATATATATATATATATATATATATATATACATTTTGAGGAGGCTGAAAATAGAAAACTCCTACTATACAGTGTTTGTTATTATTTTCTATGTTTAGCAGAAGCAAAATGCGAGCAGTTACAGGTCTAGTGCCCCTAGTGGCCAAAAGTTACACTGTGCGCCTTTTAAGGTTAATAAAACCAAAAGATATATAATTTTTTTATACATTGATTTTATGAGTTATAACAGGCTCTCAGTCCTGTGTGTTTGGATACATATAAGAAAATTTAAATATTTGCGTTAATCTTTTTTTAACACATGTAAATCCTTTTATTGTCCCACAATAAGGAAAATTCATTCCCTGCATTTAACCCATCCCCTTGGGGAGCAGTTGGCTGCCATTGTGTGGCACCCTGAGAGCAATCGGGAGTTAAGGGTTTTGCTCAGGGACCCAGAGTGCAGGCTGTGGGCATCGAATCAGGTACTTGCAACCTTCTCAGAGCACAAGTGAACTGCTCTAACACTCAAATTTCACATCACATTTCAATCACATTAAAATATTTCTAGTTACTCATGAAATTAATGCTTTTAAAGTCCCTTACAGAAATATTATCCTTTTTTTTTTGAGAATATACAAATCTGTAAAAAAAAAAAAAAAAGTTTTAAATCTGTAAAAAAAAAGTGCTAAGATTTTTTTTGGGAAAAATGAATCAATAAAAAAAGCTTAAAAAAACATATCTGAGGAAACTGCAGGGGATTATATTTATTTTCCTTTTTCACATACAAAACATTAATTTTTTTTGCTTGCAAAAGTAGTGGAACAAAATCCACTCCATATAAGAGAACCTGATGTAGTTTTAAAAAAATTATCTTGCATAAATTAACGTTCAACTTTGATCTTACGATTGTCGAAGTAAAATCTGTGGAAGTCCATCCCCTCTACCAGATTTCCAAGCCCCTCAGGCTCAAATGAGGTAAGGCCAGGGTCACAGATCTTCCTGCAAGAAAACAGCAATAAAAATCTTTAAAAAAACGTTTAAAAAACGTATGATAGATACCAGCACATGTATGAAAAAAACAGGAAAAACTGTAATGATTGTTGTAGAAAGATTTTTTTGTTGTAAAAACTCTCTAAGCTGTTTGCTGCCTCTATTAGTGGCCAAATCATTTCACCGATTTGCAATCATTGAGAGCTGGGGATCGACTTGATGCTTTAAAAAAACAATGCCTCAGTCTGCAAACTCATGTTGTGTAGAAACCGTAAATGTAAAATATAAGGATTTCCTCTCACAGACCACAACAAAGCAGTACAAAGTTTACCGTTTTTAACAAAATAAACAGGTCAAGTTCAGTAAAAGTGAATCCATAGAATCCATGGACATTAGAATCGCTCTGATGGCTCTAAATTATTCCACATCGGTAAATTGGTGAAATATTATCTTATGTTCATTAGATGTTTGAAATGCTACTTTTTTTGAGTTAATCTGAACCAAGGGAAGTAATTGTAATATTGATAATAACACTGCAATATTTAAGTGTGATGTATTATCCATTTTTTATTTGTAGGTGAGTACTTCAACAACATGATCCTTATATGATTAACAGAAACAATCAAATGTGCTTGTTTCGGGGATTTTCTAGATATATAACTATTGTTACCGATTTGCAATGCATTTGTTACTTCAAGGCTGGACTATTGTAATTCTTTACTATCAGGAAGTCCACAAACTGTAGTTAAAAGCCTTCAGCTGATCCAAA